TAACATATATTATTTGTTATTGGACCAGTATATAGATATTTTAATTAAAATATATATTGCTGTATATTACCCACTCCTATGTTATTCGTAGAACCATACTTTTTAAGCATCGTATTGATTTTTAAAAGAAAAATTTCGACCACTTCATTAATCGCGAATCCATCGTGTGCAGTTTGCCTACTTGCATAACTTAATTCCACGGCACGTCAATTCACAATTTAGCATAAAAGGAGCTTGGCGTTGATAGATGGTATGTTGTAGGGCGTAGAGCCAACAGCGTACAAACGTTCGAACAATACATGTCTAATGGACTGGCTACATTGTTCTGTTGAGCACAGATGTATTATAAGCATTAAACAGAATTAGGATCTATGGTGTAATGTCTTTTGTTTAAAGCTTGAACTAATATCTTAAAATTTAAGATGGAAATCAAGCTTACTGCGTCCCTCTGAGTAACAAACCTCTTTGTGCTACTGAAATTAATATCGTTACCGGTTATCTAAACAATATTTATCATCTCTCATCATCACACCTATGTAATGGTAAATATTACTGGACAGTTGTAATTAATTTTAAAGTCTGCGGTAATCTTCAATATTTAGTAAATAAATATTCATTCATTCATTTCAGCTATTATCTGTCCACTGCTGAACATAGGCCTCCCTCATAGACTGCCATAAGGTACGATCCTGAGCCACTTACGTCCACTGACTCCTTGCAATTAATTTGAGGCCATCACTCCTATAGTGGAGGGTTGTCCCACACTCCGTTTGCCCGTACGAGATCGCCACTCAAGATCCCTTCTTCCTCATCGGTTGTCGGTTCTTCAAGCTATATGACCAGCCTATTTCTACTTTAGCTTGCTTATCTTTCAGGTTATGTCAGTTACTTTGGTCCTCTTGTGGATATCCTCGTTTCGGATAATTATAATAAATATTATTGCTGTAACTCATTTGTATGAAGTATTTTAAAGTTTATGATCTATACATATTAAAGTACAAAGTAATTTTACGTATTAAAAGGTAATTTACTCTATGTTTAAAGGAAATCAAAATAATTGAGTATCATGTTTTCAAGAAAGAATGTGTTAAGTGAAGTTTAACATTTGTTCGAGGAAGGTATCAAAACAAGCATTCAGAGTTTCATATTTTACTCAAATACGGGTATGTAATTTTCTATCCCTTTATTGTACTGAATACATGAGTTTCTAGCGCGAAGCAGTTGTGTTTGCATGGCTATGTTTCGGTTTGAAGGGTGGGATATGGCAGTGAATTTACAGGGTACAGAGGAATAACACCTGAATCCTCAGGAATGGCAACGCATGGGAAGTATAATGGGTAAACAGTATACTCTGTTATGTCTATGGTGCTGCTCATGTTTATAGGCGACGGTTACCACTTTCTATCAGGTAGGCCGACAGCTTGTTTGCCATTCTAAGTTACATAAAAAAACGTACAAACAAATTTAAGATAAACTATTAACTAGTACGTTTAAAAGTATTATAAAAGTATATATAGTTCTTGTCAATTCTACGTCCGAATTTCGAAGGATTAATTGGTGAGCAGCCTGCCAGTTAAGTTAATTTTCATTGGAGTAGTTGGTTCCTTTGTCCTTTATCGGTTTAATTCTCATCAATGGTAAACCCGCCAGGTAGGGTTAACGCTAACGATTTTACTAACGACTTTAATCCCAAATGAAGTAGTCACAGGCATTTGTAGTGTTGCGGTGAATATAAAACTCAACTTGTCTGCAGTTTGAGGAGAATTGATCGATGTCACTTGGATATTTTAAGTTCATTAGCTTTGCTTTTCATATTTATTGTTTTTGGTATTGGCTAGAGAGTAATTTATTATTGGTAAAAGACAATATTTTTTAGTATCGATTCACCCTTTAATTCATAAAAACGAAAATCTACTAAAACTGAAAGTTGTTTGCCGTTTGAAGAGAATATTAAATTACAAGATACTCCATTGCCGTCTCTTGAATAAATTTGGTCTATTAACTTTGTTTTTGACATTCAATGTTTTTGGCATTGACTAGAGAGTAGTTCATTATTGGCGACATACAAAATTTTTTGTGTTAGTTCATAAAAACGAAAAACTCCTGCAAATCTATATTTACAATTGCAGTGTTTTGTCATTTTCATTCAAGTTGAGAATACTTCAATAGCGAGACGTTTGATATTTTTATAAATAAAGAGCATTTAAGGGTGTGTGTATATAAGTATGTGCGTGTGTGCATCTGTATGTGTGTGAGTATGTATACGTGTACATGTGTATGTATGTATGTATGTCTTTGTTTATTTGTAACACTTTATTGTACAATTAAGTCTTAAATTATAGGATACAGAGTTTTTAAGAAATGAACGAGAACAATGGCGAATTTATCCAATAAGAGGGATTTCTTAAAGTCAACCTTTAAACGTTTGATAGAAATTGTTTATTAGTGGAGACAAAAAAAATAATAGCTAATTAAAAAAGTGTGTGTGTGTTTTTGTGTGTAAGCATGCATACGTGTGTATATTTTTCATGACTATAGTTTCTTTTCTGTTGAACACAATGTTCTTATGTAAATTTTTTATACCACGAAGGTGACGAACAAGCATATAGCTCGTCTGATGGTAAATGCTCACCTGCAACACTAGAAATGTCACGTGCGCATTATCGACCATGGAGAAACTTTAATACACATTTTTTTTTTTAAGAATTCCATGCGGTAGTGTTTAAAAACCCTTGGCAAAGTTCTTATTCCATAGACTGAGTATTGGTAGGAGGAAACTCATATAAAACCGCACTGTACGTGATCATTTAGGTTCCATTTATGTTAATTTATAACCTCTAACTCTATAACAACTTAAGTATATACGTCTTAACATTGGCATACTGTCTAAAAGGTATTCACTTCCCAAGTTTAACTCTTCGTTACGTAAACTAATTAAAACAACTCAAAAGTAATTTGTCAAACAAGACTCAAAGTTATTTTGGTTGTAAAGGAGAGCAGGAATGCTTTCTTTCATCAGGTAAGCGATGAAACTATTTGCTTAAATATATTTGATATTTTTAAATGTAAATTAACTTTAAATATAAAGTTAAAGAAGTGTAATATTAATTGATCTACCATCTAATCCAATACGTCGTTTTGGATTAGATGGTAGGTAAAAGTTGGAGAAAATAGAGACTTTTTTTATTATTTCTTTTTATTAATTTCTTCTAATTATATACTAATATTTTAATTTTTGTAATCTGATACTTCATTGTAGTTTGTATTCATTGGATTTATTTATATATGTTATAAAATTGAATTTATGATCTAATTATACCAATTAAAAAAAAAGCGGTTATCTTACTCAATAAGTTCTGTCGAATACTTAAGGAAGATATAAAACTCCGTGATGGAAATATTACAAATAACTACAATGTAACAAAGAACATTGTTTACATTTTATATTTTTTCGAAATTTATATGAAATTTTGGAACCCAGATGGCATTATATAGGTATACATAATTATTATATTATTTTCATAAAATATATATCCAGATTGTAAAAAAAATTATAATATGTATATTCATTTTTATTTTCTTAAATTTTTATTAACAATTTCTAATAGTTATAATGTCTCTTTAAATCATTTTACAGATAGAATGAATTAGATTGACAGTCCTGTAAAAAATAAACTCTGGAGAGTAGTAAGCATTTATAAATAAAAAAACATTCTAAATATAAAAACCTATTTACATTAATAAATTTATAATGTAAATGTGATTTTATTGTAATTTATATTTATTATTTTGTCTGAAGGTTAAGTTTGTTTGCATGGCTGTGTTTCGGTTTGAAAATGTATGTCTATAGGCAACTCACGTCTATACTCATGTCTATAGGCAACGGTTACCACTTTCTATCAGGTGGGCCGTTAGCTTGTTTGCCATTCTAAGTTGTATAAAAAAAAAAAATTTATATGAAGTCTAACTTCTAACAAAATTCATCAGTCATGTTTAATCCTAGATTAACACATACGAGTGCACACATACTTATTGTCATTACATTTTTGTCAGTTGCAATTCCCGATCAAATGGGCCATTAGCTTATTGGGCAGTCTAAGATTCATTAAAAAATAACTTAAAACATGAGTATTAACTCAATACTATAATCATGTATATATGTAATCATAGTATAGAACGACCCATACTAGATGGAGTGACTACCTCAAATGCTGGGAGTCAGTGGATGTAGGTGACTCAGGTTCGTTACTTATGGCAGTCTATGGGGAAGGCCTACGTCAAGTAGTGGACAGATAATGGCTGAAATGATGATGATAATGGTAATCAAATCAATCATAGTCCCTGATGTCCCACTACTGAGCAAATACCTTCTTTAACTACTTCTAACTCGTATGATCGTTGGCCAAGCTGTACCAGTCTTTGAGAAACCGATCACGATCGTCTCTCCATCACATACGAGGTCTTACGCAATTTTTTTTTGTTTTTTAAGGAACCAATATGTATAGACCTTGTCCTATCTGTCGCTTTGCATACAACTTACGTGCCGTGCCCATTTCCACTTCAGAGTTATCATTTTTTGTGTCGTGTCAGCAATTTTTATAAGAGAGCGCAGTATTGCCTATTGGTAAACCCCGAGTTTGGACTTTTGAACATGTGTCAAAGACTATTCATGTACCTCATAGACAAGATTTTATACTATTATCAGAGATGAGGTCGCTCCGTGAGGCCTATGAAGATTCAGGAAGCTTCTGTGTTTCTAGTCGGAGCTGGGCTAGCTGTACTAGCCACGACTTATACGCACAACAGCCCAAATTAGAAGCTAAGCGCGAAAAAGAGAGTCCAATTATTATATTACATTATATTATTCATCATCATCATCTTCCTACCCTTATCCCAATTATTATTTGGGGTCGGCGTAATATAGTTTTATCCATATTACAAAAGGATTTAGCTTATATATTATATTATTATTATCAGAAAAATAAAAAAAAAAGTCTTACCTCGAACCAACGTCAGAATACCAAGAGGCATCACTAATATTGCAACCAACAAGTCCGTAATAGCCAATGACATCAAGAAGTAATTGGTGACATTCTGGAGTCTCCTCTCCAAATATATAGCGAGACAGACCAGAACATTTCCAGCGGCCGTACAGACAACCAGCACCAAAGCGACCAAAGCCCACCAATTGTTCACAAAGCTGTCATCGAAATTCCCTGTTATATTATTATAAGTATTATTCGAATCTGTAACATTGTATTCCGAATCATTGGCCGGGATATCCCAAATGTTATACTCTGTATCAACATTTTCGGGAGGATGGAAGTATACTAGTTCATGCATTGTTGGTAAGTCTCGGCTCCAGCAAGTTCATTTTCGTTCTTGACAAATTCATCTTATCTCGTAAATGTGGTATATTGTGGTGGGCAGATCCATTTTTGAGTTCCTAATTCAATTTGGTGCTGTCAGTTGATGCATCTGAAATAAAAAAAAAATATGATTTCACACATACATTCTTTTATACTATTGTTTTATTAATATTAAACTATTCTTTTTAACTAACACCGTATGGTCCCGGCATAGAATGAAGCTTCCCTTCCTTTCTGGTAAGTATCGAAAGAGGTGTCAAAGGAAACGTGTATTATTAAAATACAATAGTGTATTATTTATATTCACATAATATACCTCTTATGGGGTAAGCACAAAATTAAAATTATCATTGAAAACATTCGATTATCTTAGATTGTCTTTGTACAAAGGTCATCTGCTTTAGTACTTTACTCTGACCCACTTGTATTTTACAGTATAATCGTAAATTACAGGGTATAGATGCATAACATCCACGTTCTCAGGAATAACAGGCCATGAAGGGAGAGATATAAAAGTATACTCTGAGATATCCGTAATGCTGTTTATTTTTATAGAGGACTGTTGTCACTTTCCATCGCAATTATTAACTTATTTTTCATCACAAGTTACATGGAAAAATGCCGTATAGAGTCAATGCAAAAGTGTGTGTTTTATTTCTGTTTATGAAACTGTGTAATTAATTCACCAAAGAATAACTTCAGGTGCTGATATCCAATATTCGTCGACATACGTGTCTTAATATATATATTTTTTTATATACAACTTAGAATAATGGTAAATAAGCTGACAGCCCACCTGATGGAAAGTGGTAACCGTCGGCTATAGACATGAGCAGTATCATGGACATAACAGAGTATACTGTTTCGCTCATGATACCCCCATGCATTGTCATTCCTGAGGACTCAGATGTCATTCCTCTGTACCCTGTAAATTCACGCCATATCCCATCCAATTATAAATATCGTGACGATAAAATCTGATAGCCCGGTATGCACAGTAACTTATAAAGCATCTAACAGAGCAGATGAAAGCAAATGAATTAGCTGGTATTATTGAATGTCTCCGGACCATTTATTAAAGGCACAAACTTCACGGATCACCTTGTGAATTTTTAAAGGCCCCGAACTCCGCGCCGTCTTTAATTCATAACTTTTAAACTGTAATTGGCTGAGAGACGGATATTTCTAGATAGCTACCTACTAAAATAGAAATCGCAAACTTACAAATTTGATTCGTTCTAAAATTATTTTATTAGCTTTCATAGCCAAAGTTTAGATCGTTGAGTGTAAATTTGTAGACTTTATATTAAGAGTAATCCTATTAAAATTGTAAACGTGAAAGTTTGTAAAAATGTTTGTTAGTTTGTTACACAATAACAATTGAACGGCGGAATAAAATGAGATTTGGTAGCCTTTATCTTAATACAATTATAAATATAATATACTTTAAAAATAGAATATGAATAAAAAAAAATTAAAATAATATTTATTTCCAGCCAGAGGTATTCGTATTCAAATTGGTAAACAGTACATTTATGGGTAAATACCTACTAGAATGTTTATGGTTTTAGCGTAGATATTATACACTTTGTTTCATTTAAAATATAGTTTACTAATATTGAAAATACTAAGAAATATAGAAAATCTAACTCAGGATTTCCACATCAATCTTTTATTAAAAAACTCACTGGCTGTTATATTACAGTATGAAGATTATGAACTTCCCATATTTTTACGAATTATTGACGTTATAAAAAAAATCAACAACCATATTCTTGGTCCCATCAAAAAATCCATAATTTATCGTCCTTTTATCGAAAAAAGTTTTTAATAATCATAAAGGTCGTATTTACGACATCCGCCATTTTTCATGAAAGTACCTTTGACAAATAAAAAGACAATTCGGGGTTTAATATAAGCTTGTGAGTAATTTGTAAGTATGAGTGACTTATTCAGCTTTATGTAAATAGATAGATACTTTTTATTGTTTCCTCCATAAGATTACAATGGTAAACTTATTATAAATTTATTACAAACAATTACAAGAAAAAAACTACACTAAGAAAACAATGGGCGGCTTTATCGCTAAGGGCGATCTCTTCCAGGCAACCTTGGGATGGAGAAGAATAATTATTAATTATGTAGAATAGTATATTTTAAAAACACATACAACTATGTACATATCATATACATAAATAACTTGCTGATATTATAAATGTGAAAGTAAGTTTAATTGTTGTTTGTCTCTCGACGCTTCAATGGTAGTGATGCGTGATGATAGCATATTGGTCCATTCTTATTCTCATCTCTTCTAATTTTTTTTTTAATCGATTCCAAAAAGAAGAAGGTTCTCATCTCAATTCGGTTGTATTTTTTATGTTTATTATCTCATAACATTGTCAATTATAAACCGATTTGGAAAAATCTTTTTTTATCTGAAAGCATATACTTTCAGATTCGTACCTTATAAAAATTAACAAAATCAATGTAGCAGTTTATTTTTTAAAACAAAATAACTGATTATGCCACAATTGAAGTCGATTTGCTTTTTTGTGGATCACAGTCTTAATTTATTATTACATAAATTACTTTTTATTTCTATTAATCTGTGGACAAAGTCGCATGTAAAAACTAGTAATTTTTTAAATACAAAAATTGGTAAACATTTTTAGATATTTGGATATTTGTCAGTAAATCACAAAAAGGGCTGAATATTGTGTTAGTTATACATAGAAATAATATCACATCGATTTGTTTTATTAAAGAAAATGTAAAAGTAATATATTTTTTTTTATTATACCTGGCAATGTATTATTCAAAAATAGAAATAAAAAAATTGTATAAAAATCAATTGAACTTGTTCTTTATTTAAATTTAAAATCGTAGAATTTTAAAGGTTCCATAAATTGCCTGTTTGAATTTTACACTTATACAGTGTGTTTAAATTTAATAGGCACGATATTAAACTTTTTAAAGAGATTCCCCGATCCACGATCATTCTTTTTTTACGTAGCTGTTTTAGGTAAAAAATGGTCGAGGATATAGCACCCATTAATTATATAAAACCACCTTACCATGGATTTTCGCAGAATGGATAGCCACAGATTTGAATCTGTGGTAAAAAACAGACGAATCTGTTTGTAACTTTGTGCATTGCATTAAATAGACTTTCAATTTGTTTTAATCGAAAATTTTAGTCAAATTATGTTCTTGATACAATAAGAAAATACACATTACAATATTGTACTTATACAATTGTATTGTTGTTTTTGTGAATTGCTTGCTTATTTCCTATATTGAATAATGCGAATAAAGTATCCTCATTCATTCATTCATTGAAATTAATTTGAAAGATTTTCACAAATGTTAAAGTCTGTAAAAATGCTTGATAATATTTTGGCCGAACGGATTGGAATCAAATTTTGTTACACGAATAATACGTGGACAAAGCTACAATGTAGGAATTAATTATTTTACAAGCTTAAAACTTGGAGGATTAGGTACCTCTGTCCCAGCCATGTTTCTACTACCACGCAGCTGTTCTTGCATTGCTGTTTCGATTTAAAAAACAAGAGATGAGATTATACGGAGTATAGAGTTATTTTCGGCATGATATCTTAGTGCTTAGGAACGTTTTCATGAAGAGCGTCACAGTATACTCTGTGACGTCCATGGCCCTGTTCATGTTGTTCTATAGGTGATAGTTACTGCTTCCCATCAGATGTGTTATTAGATTATTTGACATTCCAAGATACATTAAAAAATAAACAGCATTATAATTACAAATGCTGACTTAATTTTAGTCCTAAATTCTTACTAATATTGTAAACGTGATAGTGAGTTTCTTTGTATGTTTGTTATCTTATAGCGCTTTATACAACACCTTAACAGTTTATTCAATCATTATTAAATTTGGTACACACATACTATATGAGATGGAAAGGGACATAGGCTACTTTTTGTCTCGTTCAGTAAACACATCCTGGTCACGCGGAAACACAAATTCTAATTTCAAAATAGAAACCGCTTCAAACAAAGACGTTCTAAATTCAAAATATTTAATAATACAAAAAAAGATATTAAAATACATGCTGTATTGTATAAAAGAGTATGTTCTATTCAAATTCAAATGTATGATGTGTTCCATGCAGGATGTTTATTAAGCCATTTATAATTTAGGTGTGCAGCAAAACAGGCCGGCTTGTATATCACCCAGTAAACTCGTTTGTGGCTAGCCAACAGACCCTTGGCTTATTAAATATGTATTCAATTCTATAAAGCAAATGGGTCACAGTGGAAGATTAGAATTTATCGCGTGTCCTACACAGAATAGTAACGCTGCAAAATATTTCTAATCTTAATAATGTGGGTTGACGCTACGCCAATGTTGGTTTGACTAATTGAAATTTATTACCTTTTTTTTCAGGTATCAAAATTATTCCAATACGGTTCTGTATCGAAATAGGATAAAGTACATTTACCTTTTCATCTGTTGTAATCATTAGTTTATCAATCACAACGTTAATATCATCAACTGCTAATGATATCATCACTATTATATATGTATGTATATGTATGTATGTGTGTATATTTGTATATATATCGTGTATATTTGTATATATATATATATATATATATATATATATTCGTCGTCGTCGTTCGTAATGTCACGCATGGGCACCACAGAATATCAGCGCTGTAGCTTGCTGCAGCACATGCTGACTTGTGACCATGTTGGCAATAACAAATGTAAAGTTTTTTTTTTAAATTGATAATTTATGTAACTTTTTTATTGTTGGCAATAAATGTTTTCTTTCTTTCTTTCTATATAACAGTAACCTCTCTTAACCTTTTCTTTTAATTAGAGATTTTTTTGAGAATCTCGTATACTCTGAGGATAGTACTACGTATTATATTGTGACATAAGTATGCACGATGCCCCGCAATGGCAGATTGCAACCTCATTATCTCCGTCAGCTTGCATATGGGGGGTTGAGGTAGCAGCTGTAACCAAGCCTTAACCCTTTTTAAATGAGGAACATTTTTTACCCATCCCGTATACGTGTTTGTTACGGCCGTTTTGCAATATAGATAGTCTGTGGTTAGAAG